GAAACCTTTCCCCCTTTTATGGCTTCCTTGACTTGAGTCATTAACCATGTTGGCATCCTTTTAGACTTGGTGGTATATTTCCTGAGTTGAAAGATACATTTTATCTGGGTCTCAGTTAATGTGACTTTAAATGGTTTTCAGGCATGCCAGAGGGATCTGACTCTTTTGATTCTCATTTTTAAGAAATGGGAGAATTATCTCCTGATTCTTATTTTTAACTTCCTTTTGACTAATCTCCACATTTTTCCAAAGTTCCCCCTTTGAAATCAAAAGCTCTAAGTTTGGACTCTGGGGCAACTTTCTATTAACATGAATTCTGAACTTAATAGCCTTGTGGTCACCATTCCCAATTAGTGCAACCAAATTTACATCTCACACCAGGTCTTGACCCCCCACTCAAAACCAAGTCCAGACTTGCTACGCTTCTAGTTGGCTCCGTGACCAACTGCTCCACTGCACAGTCATTTATGATCGCAAGAAATCCTGTTTCTGTAGCATGACTTGAACACACATTTGTCCAATCACTGTGAGAGCTGCTGAAGTCACCCAGTATTACAACATTTTGCACTTTGGTCATCTCCCTTATTTCCATCTCTGTCTCAAGTTCTGCCTCATAGTTTTGATCAGATGAATGATAGTATACCCCCACATTTTAAAGGATTCCTTAGTGTCCAGTATTTTCACCCATAGTGATTCCATGGAGAAACTTATTCCCCAAATGTTTCCTGGTTTACATGATTCTGTGCTGTCCATGTAAACAACAGACTTAGAATCATAGAATGTTAGCATTGGAAGGTACCTTGCAGGTCATCTAGTCCAACCCCCTGCATTCTGCAGGAGCATAGCCGAAAGAGAGCCCTACAACATACCCGAAAGATGGTCGTCCAGCCTCCGCTTGAAAACGTCCAGCGAAGGAGCATCCACCACCTCCCGAGGCAGTCTGTTCCACTGCTCAACCACTCATACAGTTAGGAAGTTTATCCTGATATTTAGCTGGTAACAACTCCCTTGTAATTTCCACCCATTAGATCTAGTCTTGCAATCCGGAGCAAGAGAGAATAGATCTGCTCCATCTTCTACATGACAGCCCTTCAAATACTTGAAGACTGTAATCATGTTCCCTCTAAGCCTTCTCTTTCCCAGCCTAATCATACCCAACTCTTTCAGCCTTTCCTCATAAGACTTGGATTCCAACCAATGTTCCCTCTAAGGTATGGAGTCCTGTAAGCAAAACTTCTACTTGGTGAGTGACTGGTATTAAAGTTGTGAGCAGGTGATTGGGCGACTGCATCAATTCGTTTGTTCTGGAGCCCTCCTTCCTGAGCTAAGACAAAAATGTGTGAGCCAAAGGCTAAAAAGCTGTGAGCTGGCTCACACTAACTCAGCTTAGAGGGAACCCTGATTCCAACCCTCTCACCATTGGTTGCCCTCTTCTTGCATTACTAAGTTCAAGTGAATGTAAACCAGAAGAACTATGGGTTGAAACCAGAGATGTTATCAAGGAAGAATGTGTAAAGATTATTCCTGTAGCCAAAAGAAAAGCCTCAATGAATGACTGATAAAACTCTTTAAAATTGCTAAAGTTGGACAAGAAGCAAAAGTAAAAGGAGACAGAAATGGAATCAAGAGCCTAAATGTAGCGTTCCAGCAACTCACACTTAGAGACAAAGAGAACTATTATAATGACCAATGTAAAGAAATAAAAGAAGAACAAGAGGTCTGTTCCAAAGATCCAAGAAATCAAAGGGAAATTTAAATCACAGGCATACTGAAAGATCAACACAGAAATACATTAATTGAACATGTCAAAATAAAAGATGGGAACAATGCACTGAAGAACTGTACAAAAGAGACGAAAGGATGACAGATTCCTTCCAAGAAGCATCTTTTGAACCTACAGTTTTAGAAAGTGAAGTGAGAGCTGCAATGAGAGCAACTGGAGAAACAAGTCACCAGGTGTAGATGGGATATCCATAGCTATCCCAAGCCACAGAACCAGAGTCCATCAACATCCTAACAAGACTGTGCCAACAAATATGGAAAACAAAACAATGGCCCACAGCCTGGAAACGTTCAATTTACACCCCAATTCTGAAAAAGGAGACATCAAAGACTGCAGCAACTATTGGACCACTGCATTTATTTCTCACATGAGTAAACCGATGCCAAAATCCTGCAATAAAGACTGTTACAGTATATGGAATGACAAATGCCAGATTTTTCAAGCTGGATTCAGAAAAGGAACATAAGAACATAAGAGACGCCAATGTTGGATCAGGCCAAAGGCCCATCCAGTCCAACATCCAGTCTGTCACACAGTGGCCAGAAACTAGAGATCATATTGCAAATTTACATTGGTTCCTGGAGCACGTGAGAGAATTTCAGAAGCAAATCAATTTGCGTTTCATAGATTACAACAAAACTTTTGACTGTGTGGATCATGAAAAGTTATGGCTGGCTTTAAAGGAAATGGGGGTGCCACAACATTTGACTGTTTTGATGCGCAATCTATACTCCAGACAAGAGGCCATTGTTAGGACAGAATATGGAGAAACAGAATGGTTTCCAATTGGCAAAGGTGTCAGACAAGGATGCATTTTATGTGTCTATCTGTTCAATCTGTATGCAAAACACATCATAACAAAAAGATGGATTAGATTTAGATGAAGGTGGAGTAAAAACTGGTGGAAGGAACATTAACAATTTGAGATATGTTGATAACACCACATTGTTGGCAGAAAACAGTGAAGACTCAAAATGACTACTGATGAAGCTTAAAGCAGGATTACATCTGAACATCAAGAAGACAAAAGTAATGAGTACTGCAGAACTGTGCAACTTTAAGATTGATGTTGAAGACATTGTTCAAGATTTTCTATTCCCTGGCTCCATCATCAACCAAAAGGGAGACTGGCACCCGAGAAGTCAAAAAGAGATTGAAGCTGGGCAGGGCAGCCACGAAGGAGCTCAAAAAGATCCTTAAGTGTCAGGATGTGTTGCCCGCGAGCAAGATCAAGTTAATTCATGCCATAGTTTTCCCCATTACAATGTATGCATGTGAAAGTTGGACAATGAAGAAAGCTAACACAGGAAGAGATTCCTTTGAAACGTAGTCGGAGGAGAGTTTTACGGATGCCCCGTGGACCGCCAAAAAGACAACTTAAACGGGTTCCAGATCAAATCAAGCCTGAACTCTCCCCTAGAAGCTAAAACGGCTAAACTGAGTCTATTGTGCTTTGGTCACATTATGAGAAGACAAGGTAACAATGCTTGGAAAAGGTGAAGGCAGCAGGAAAAAATGGAAGACCCGACATGAGATGGATGGACTCAATGAAGGAAGCCACGAAGGCCCTTCGTTTGCAAGGCCTGGGCAAGGCTGCTAGAGACAGGGCCTTTTGGAGAACATTTATTCACAGGGTTGCCATATGTTGGAAGCAACTTGACGGCACTTAACTTGCACAAACGCTGTCTGTGACACACAGAGCATGACCGCCCCAGATTTGTCCCTCCCTTGACCTGTTTCACTAGAGTTTATATCCAGGGATAAACGTGCCCCACTGATTTCCCCCCGTCCCACCAGGGGTCTGAAAAGCCACTAAGCAACGAGGCCTCTAGCTTCCCCATCCCACCTCGGGGACTCCTAGCGCTGGCATCTCAGCACCAGTACCTCTCTAAAGTTCCCGGCCTCTGTCACTGCGCCCCACACCCCCCACCCCGGTTTCCTCACATGGCCTCCTTTACCGCCCTACTCTCATTCGCACGTTCTAGCCCACTGCCAATGACATTTCCCCAAGGATTTACCACACCATCCCTTTGGGATAAGTTGTTCTGAACCAGAACCTCCTCAGCTCCCATCAGCTTTCCCCCAGTCATTGAACATGGCCGCAACGTCCTTTTGCTATGAAGTGCCAGCAGCCCAATTTCCTTTTGGTCCCCGTCTCTTTTGTACAGGTTCGTCTTTGTCTTGTCCCAGAAAGTTCCTCAGTGCCTAATAAAGCTAAACCCTTCCCTCTGGCACCACATTCTTGTCCAACGTGGGACTCCTCACCAATGCTCCCTCTAAGCTACAGAGTCTCGTGAGCAAAAATTCTTCTTTGCGAGCGACTGGCATTCAAGTTGTGAGTGAGCGATTCAGCTACTGCATAAATTGGTTTGCTCTGGAGCCACATCCTTTCTGAGCTAAGACAAAAATGGGTGAACCAGGGGCTAAAAAACTGTGAGCTAGCTCACACTAACTCAGCTTAGAGGGAACACTGCTCCTAACCTGTGTCTGTCCAGCTGGCCCTGGAGCAAGCAGCAATGCTGAGAATGTTACACAGGGAATCTTGGTCTTTAGCCTTCTGCCTTGTAACCTACATTTTCCCTCCCCTCTGGGACCACATAACTATGTTTCCCAGCACCATTGGTGCCAACACGCTTGACCCCTCTGCCGCAATAGCTACCAGCCTATACAGACAACGGGTGACATCCACAGGCTTCATGCCACGCAGGCAAGTCACCCCTCAGAGAACCCACGCTCTCTACATTCTTAATGATCAAATCTCTCACAACTAAGAGCACCCCCCCACCCCGAAATAAGAATGACAGAAACATCTGCATCAGAACAGGTCTCGTAAGAAGTTCGCCACAGATTTGCCGGGGAAAACCAGACCTATCCTGCCTGGCCCTTTTGGGGATTACTTACTCTACCACAATGGGGAGCATTTAACATGCGGGGAAGGGAAGTCTTTCAAAAGTCAGGACAGGTGTTTTTTTTTAGACTTCCTGGTTCAATGTGGCGCATTCCGAGCACCGCACCTGCGCTTGGACTGCCCCCGCTTGAGGGGACTTGGCCCCCCCCACCCGGCTGCCCCCCCCCCCCAGTTTGGAGCAGATTCCACCCCAGCTGGGGCGCCTCAAAGCAGGCGATTTAAAGCCGCCCCCTAGAGGCCTCCCGGAAGGGGCTGGCGTTCTGGCTTTAGCAAGGCCGGATCCCAGGGGCCCCGGAGCCTGCCGCTTACCCCTTCTTGGGCTCCTCGTCCTTGCTCTGTTTCCACTCCACCTTGCTCTTGCGGTACAGCAGGTTCATCTCGTTGTGCAGCTGCTCCCGGGCCTGGGGCTGGTGCGTCTGGCTGAGGGCCCGGTAGGCCCAGCGGCCCCGATCCTCCACGAACTGCAGAAACACGGAGATGAGAGCCTCCTGGGGGCTGGCATTCATCTTCCCGGGGCGGGCGGGCGGGCGGCGGGGCGGGGAGCGCCCGGCGGGGGGGCGCAGCTGAGGGAGAGAGAGGATGTTAGGGGGACCCGAAGGCCTCTGAGCCTGCACAGAGCGCTCCGCCTTTGCAGCAGGCCGCCGCGACCCAGCCCTTCGGGCGCGTAGCCGAGCCCCGGGCCTGGCCGCCCTGCCCGAGGAGCCGCGTGCGCCTACCTGCTATCTGGGGCCGGCTCGGCGGGGCATGTCCTGCGGCGGGCCCCCCCCTCTGGCCAGGGGCGGCTCAGGGCATGGCGGCGGCGGCGGCGGCGGGCGAGCAGGCGGGTCCGGGGCGCGGCCGCTACGGGGGTCGCCGGTCCATGCCGCGCCGCTCCGGGGCCTGCCGCCAAGGGTGGGGTCCTCCTTTC